CGTGAGCTATACAGATGTTCGTACCGGTATCGCGACCACTAGCCGGCCGCGCGCGCGAGGCCTTCGCTGCGGGCGCGGGCACCCTGTGTGAACAAGTAAGCAAATCGCGTCTTGCGAGAGTCGGGAGTGGCACATACATCTATCAAGAGCGACGATCCTGTGCGCCCTCGTGTGAATGTTGCGCCTGGAGGTGCGAGAAGCGGCGAAAGTATTGATGTACTCGCGTGGTGCCAATCTACGCATCAAGCACTCTGTGAGCAAGTCAGCAAACATCCCCATCCCCACACCGATGAGCACGAGCAGCACGTACCGTAAATACTCAGGAGTCTCTGCAGGCACACATCGAAGAGATATGCTCGCGCGGGTAGGTCGTTCGAAGGCCTTGTGTTAGGGGAGGTCGCGGGTCGAAGGGTGCTGCAGACGCGCTGTCGGGAGTGCTGGTGTCTCGCGCACATGTATGTGTGGATGTGCGGGAAGTGTGGTGCATCGTTCTGCTCGCGCGCGGTGGATGAGGGGCATGGCGAGACGGGCGTGTTCTTGGTTCGATGTGCTTGCGGTGTCGGGAGCTCTGGGGTAAAACCCGCGAGATATCTGTCCTGCATAACATCCCTCGCCGCGCGGAGCCAAATGGCGAGCGAAGTACACAGTTTGTAGTGTAGATGAAATAGATCAGCTTTGCACCTCGCCGGAACTATGGAACACGCACCTTCAAATATGCCTGAACACGCCGAGTCTGCCGGTGTTCTTCGGTGCCTATACCCGTCTTCTTCTCGGTCTGCCTTCTCCGCGCGGACGTCGCGCGCACAGGCGGCTTGAGCGCGGCTGCAGTATCCTGTTGTGTTTGTAGGTTAGCATGCAGACCATCATCAGGGTAAGGAATACTCACAATTATGAACCCATTGGAGGGCGGAGGTGGGAAGGTGGAGGGGAGGGGATGGTGGGGCGAGGGCACTTCGAGTGGCATGTCCTGTACCTATGTCAGGCAGGCGTGAGAGTGAGTGTGCAGCCAGACCATAAGCGCACCAAAGCGGGCTCGCAACCGGCCTGGTTTGAGTATGTTCCGATCAGTATCTAGGCTGCATTGGCAGCCGGCGTGCTCAGTCCGTTCAGATTTCACGTAGCCCCTCAGAAATCTCAGATAGTCGGCTAATTTGATCTCAGTCTTACGGTATTTCTCAATCGTAAGGCCCTCACATGTCGCGCGCATTTTCCCTCACCACTGCCACAGAGCAGCCACACCCTGGGCAAGGTGGGTAAATACCCTGTGCAGCAGGTACACTGCCGCCCACGATATTCACCCAGCCTGACCTGTGTGGGGCTGACCCCGATAAAGACATATGCATTCAGTCATTCCGGAACACTGCGCAATATACGCGCGAAGCGGCGGCGCCCGCGCAAGCGTCTGCGCTTCGAAGTTCCACCCCTGCAACCAGGCATCTGCGCTTGACACCATCCGCGTCCGTCGGCCTCCCACAAAAATTCTGCCGCATTTGCAATGGCATCATAGCCCAGATTCCGACTATGCGACGGGACAAACGACGAGCGGAGGCCCAGTTCCAGGCTCGAGCATCGCGAGCGGGCGGCGTGCGATATGGCAGAGAGCAAGCGCCGGATGTAAGTGCACCGCCGCCCAGCGTCCTTCCGCATTTGGAACTCGCGTGTTCCTTCCTCCCTCCACCATATCTGCGCCGCGCGCCCTCGACGCCTCTTCCCCGCGGCCGCACAAGTGTCTGAGCATCAAATTAATCGTAAAACATGCACTCTATGCTTGCGTGAACACAGCACCATCAGTTCAAGAAGTGCAGCTGGCCGGGACGCGGGCCCGCATACAGCTCGCCGCGCTTGAACAACTCGTGCGGCTCCTCCGGCAGCTCCGCCCTCGCCTCCGCCTCCTTCGACACCCACTTGTCCGACTTCGGCCCGTCTCGTACGTGATGCGGCGGGTACCTCTCCGGGTCGACCTTGCTGCTCCCCCGCCGCTTCCCGATGTCGTTCCGGCCCAGATTCGGCGTCAAGCCATAGTTCAGGTGAGTCGGGGCAGCGAGCAGCGGATTGAGCTTCGCAGCGTCGTACTCGGCCTGCGAGATCGGCTCGAATGTGAGGTCTCCGCTCCTCAGTGCACTCA